CAGAGGCAGGTGGATCTCTGTGAGATCAAGGCCAGCCTGGTCTACATAGCTAGTTCTAGGCCAGCTGGGGCTACAGGGAGATTCTGTCTCAAAAAAAAAACAAACAAAAAACCCCAAGAACCCTCCCCCAAACCAAAAGTAGAGGTGCTCACCTGTAATCTCAGCACTTGAGAGGCTGACACAGGAGCATTGCCATAAATTTGAGACCAGCCAAAGCTACACTGTAAAAAAACCCTGTCTCAAAACAACAACAACAACCACCACCCCACCAAAACCGAAAACAAGAGCAAACAAACAAACCACCAAAGGCTAGGTGTGCTGGTGCACGCCTTTAATCCCAGCACTCAGGAGGCCGAGGCAGGCAGATCTCTGTGAATTCCAGGCCAGCCAGGGCTGCATGGTGAGACTGTCTCAAAAATTTAAAGTAATATAAAATAAAGAAGCTGTCACAAAATCCATTGCTGGGGGCTCAGAAGGCGGCTCAGTGGTCCAAGCACGAGGACCTGAGTTCAGATCCTCATTACCCATGAAAAAGCTTGTGTGGCATCTGTACCCATGATACATCATAACCTCAGTGCTGGGGATGCAGAAACAGATGGATCCCAGGGGTTTGCTAGCCGTCAGTCTAGGCAAAAAGGCAAGTGCCAGGTTCAATGAGAGATCCTGTTTCAAAAAATATGGTGGGTCGTGAGAGGTGGCTCAGTGGTTAAGAGTGCTGACTGCTCTTGCAGAGGACCCAGGTTCTGTTCTCAGCATCCACATGGCAGCTAACAACTGTCCAGAACTCCAGTCCAGGGGATCCGATGCTCCCTCTGGCTTCCATGGGCATTGCATGACATGGGTGCACTTACATCTATGCAGGCAAAACAGTCACACACATTAAAAAAAATTTAAATATGGTAATTGTTAGGCATGGTAGCACATGCCTTTAATCCCAGCACTCAGGATGCAATGGCAAGTGGATCTTTGAGTTTGAGGTGAGCCTGGTCTACATAATGAGTTCTAGGCCAGCTAGAACCACACAATCAGACCCTGTTTAAAATAAAATGGTGGTCAGGTCTAGAGATTTAGAGATTTAGCTCAGTGGTAGAGTGCTTGCATGCACAAGGTTCTATGCTCAATCTCCACCCCCTCCAAAAAGAGAGAGCAATAGAGAAAGTCATTTAATGGCCTCCTGTGTATGGCACACACACACACACACACACACACCCATCTCTGGTGCCCAACTCACTAGCCCATAACAGCAGAGACAACGGAAAGGTGAGGTTGCAAATGCCTTGTTTGTCTGGGAACTCACTGGAAGTCCTTCTTCAGGACCTGTGAGTGGACAGCTGGGCAATTTCCAAGCCCATTTCAGTTATGTGTCCACTGTACATGAACGAATTATGCTTCCTACATGCCCAGCTTTAACCAAGCCTCTAAAATCCATCTTGAACTAGATAGGCCCCAACATACCCCTGTCACTGCTCCCCATCACCTCAGACTCTGGAGAAAGTTTCCAGGGGGTGTGCACTCCTGCCAGCCACTGTGAGGTATACATTTAAGCGCACTCAAATGTGTATCCTGTTTCTTGATGGTACGTTGGAAACTGGTCATTAACACTTAAAAGAAGTTTTTTTGAGTCAGGGTCTTCCTGCAGCCCCAGCTGGCCTGGAGACCAGGCTGGCTTGGATCTCACAGAGATCTGGCTGCCTCTGCCTCCTGAGTGCTGGGATTAAAGGCAGAGGCAGGCAGATTTCTGTGAGACAGAGGCCAATCTGGTCTACATAGTGAGTTTCAGGCCAGCTGGGGCTACAGGGAAACCCTGTCTCAAAAAAAAAAGAAAGCCAAAAAATAACAATTTAAAAAGGTGTGCCACCACACCAGGCTGTAATGCATTTTCTTAAAGGGAAGAAAAAGCTTTTGCTGAGTGGCATGGGAAGCCCTGTGTCCTGGGTAGCCTGAGTGGGCACAGGCGTCCAAGGCTTGCTGTGGGCAGGGGGGTGTGGCAGGACACAAAGACATACTTGTCCACAGACAGAGAGGGGCCTTATTAATGGAGATGTTTGCTGGTGGCAGAGCTAGGCACAGAGCAGTGGCCATTCTCAGCCCTACACACAGAGGGACTTACGGGGTGGGCATCTTGGCCACCATCCCTGAGTTTCGGGGTTCTAAGTTTGTCCTCAGCATCAAGTAGCCTCAGCCAGAGACCTAAGAAGGAGACATGAAGGGGCCAGATCATCTAGGCTGGAGTTCAAATGCAACTTCCTTAATTGCAACACACTTAACCCTACCATGATCTCTGCCTAACAAGTCAGGAAGAAAGAGGGAAGGATTGGTCCTGCTTGTAAGACCCAAGCTCCAGAGGGTCTGGCCACATCCCCCTGAACAAGGAGAGAGGATACAGATAGTAACTAACACCTTTAGAATGGACAGAGAGTAATCGCTCACAACTGGGGTAGACAGCCAAGGAGGGCCCAGGCTTGACTTCCCCTGAAGCTATGTGACCTCAGGCCCCTTCACTAGTCAGCTGGGGCTAGTGGCTGTTGACATTTTTTTTTAAAAAAGGTCCTGAATGGCTGAAGATATAGATCAGTTGGTAGAGTGGTTGACTCTGTCCCCAGTACCACATAAAACTGGGTGCATGCTGTAATCCCAGCACTTGGAAGGCAGAGGTATCAGGAATTCAAGGCCATCCTCAGCCACACGGAGAATTTGAGGTCAGCCTGTGTTAATGAGATTGCCTCAAAAAATTTTTTTTAGTATTTTTTTTTTGGTCTTTTTTTGAGAGAGGATCTCCCTATATCCCTAGCTGGCCTGGAGCTCCCTATGTAGGCCAGGCTGACCTTGAACTCACAGAGATCTGCTTGCCTCTGCCTTCTGAGTGCTGGGATAAAAGGTGTGTGCCACCATGCCCAGTGCATATGTGTGTGTGTGTGTGTGTGTGTGTGTGTGTATATATATATATATATATTTTTTTTTTTTTTTTGGTCTTTTTTGAGACAGGGTCTCCTTGTAGCCACCACGCCCGGCCACATATGTATTTTTTAAAGAGGTTCTAGAGGTGGTTAGAAGTTCCTTTGAGAGAAGCAGAGATTTCTGGGAGCCCAGAGGGCTGAGAAGACAGGAGAGGCCAGGGCACCTGGGAACTTGCAGTTCCCAGGCAGGGGAGCCCACTTTGGCTTAGAAGTCTGGAAATTTGAGGCCTCTTCAGCTATCCTGGAGCCAAAGGGTTGGGGGGAATGAAAAGGGGAAAGGCAGTTCAGTGATGAGGAAGGGCCAGAGGGTGAACTAAAGGAGCAGGTATAGGTTTGAAAGACCCCAGTACTGCCCAACTTGGAGGCAGGATTCTGGTGAAGGCCCAGCCCAGCTAGTGGGTATGCATAGGACATGGGAGATGCTGGGTCAAGTATGGAACTGGGGTGGACTCTCTCCAGTCTTAAAACCAGACAGCCCTGGACCAGTTGAGGCCCCTTTCTGACTAGGTGGAGACTGGAATGTCCTGTGCGAGTAGTTCAGCCAAGCCAGGAACCCTGTCTCTAACCCACACTCCCTTCCCCTTTTGATCCACCTCCCTGTGTGTGTGTTGGGGGAGGTCTCTAGCCAAGACAGAAGTTAATCCTTTTCTTCTGACTTGGCAGGGGGCACCAAGTTCAGGTCAGGACTTGCAGGACATACCCAGTTCCCACCCCCTTGTTAAAAGATTTATTATTTTTCATTTTTTGGCTTTTTGAGACAGGGTCTCCCTGTAGCTCCAGCTAGTCTGGAACTTGCTATGTAGACCAGGCTGAGCTTGAACTCATAGAGATCTGCCTGCTTCTGCCTCCCAAGGGCTGGGACTAAAGGCGTGTGCCCCCATGCCCAACTTATTCTTATTTTTAATTATGTGTATGTGTGTGTGTCTGTGCATATGTGTGCACATGTGAGTGCAGGTGCTCTGTGGATTTAAGAGGGCCTCGGATTCCCTAGAGCTGTAGTTACAAGCTTTTGTGAGTTGCCTAGTGTGGGTGCTGAGAACTGAGCTTGGATCCTCTTCAAGAGCAGTAAGTGCTCTTAACTGCTGAGCCATCTCTCCATACCATCTTCCTCCCCAAGCTCCTTTTTACCAGACCCTATTGGAGAGGCTGGGCCCCATGGGGTTTGTCTGCACTGAGAGACTGGGGCTTCTGAGGCCTGGGGGCCAAGCCTGGTTGGGTGGTGGACAAGCTGGGGAATATGGTCTCTGCACACTGTATTAGGAACCCAGGTGGTTCTCACCAGGATTGGGACTACCTGCAAAGTTAGAGCACAGGACGGGAGCGCAGGCAAGGCGGTGGTTTGGCAGCCATCCATCTGGGAACAAAGAGCCACCAACAGAGGGCGCCAAAGGCATACTCTAAAGGAGAGTCTCAAGCTAGGTCAGGTGAACACTAGCCAGGTCAACAGGTGCCCCTTGGAGAACAGAAGCATGAGCAGCCATTGATACCCCTCAGCTGACTTGTCCGCTGGGTCCACAGGCCCAGGACCTCCTTTGAACACTTCTCTTAGCTTGGAGCAGTTTTCCAAATTGTGTTTCCACCTTGTCTCTGATTCAAGCTCCTCCTGGGCCTATTGGGCTTTGCTTCTAGTCAGGGTATGTCCCTTGAAAGCCAGCTGGGTGATGTGCTTTGGGTCTTCATACCTAGCTTGGGAGGACCACAGTGAGAGTGGGCCAGGAGGGAGGGAGGGGGACAGCCTTTTGAGCCCCTCTTAGCCCTCACCTCCCAGAAATGTCCCTAGAGTCATTTTGGATGGGGATAAAAGTGAGGGATGTCCCCTGGCATGTCCACAGCATCACCTGGCCCTGGTCTGCCCTCTGCTGGAGAGCTCTTGGAAGGCCCATGGCCAGGCTTGGAGATATATTATCTGGAATCCCAGGAGTCCAGCCAGATGACCCAGAGTTCAAGGCCAACTCATTACCTCAGGGGAAAAAGGAGGAGGAAGAGGTAGTGTGATGGTTGGAGACAGAGAACTTCCATCCCAGTAAACACACATGCAGTTGCTAGGAGGCAATAGGTTTATTGATGTAGCCTTGATGTTTGCTGTCTTATCTCTAGGTCTGGTGCTTCATCCAGAGCTGGGAAACTCAACAGCCACCAGCAGGAAGTAAAGGCTGATGGGAGTGGCCAGAGGCAGCTGCTATCCCAGGGTGCTATCCCAGGGTGGGATGGGTCATCTGAAGCCAGTGCCTGGGTCCAGTCCAGGCTTGGACCTTGAAAGAGTAATGGGCACAGCATGCCCCACCCCAGTGGGACACCCAAGGCCTCCTCTCCTGAGGCCCCTGCCCAAGTTGCTGTTGGGGTTCTAGCAGCAGGAAGCGGGGAGGGGAAGCAAATCTGTGGGCAGGGTCATCGGGCTGGCCGGCTCGGAGAGCCTACAGGCTGGCACAGTGGATGCGGAGGTGGGTGGATGAAGCCAGCAACAGTAGGGAGGGGTGTGGAGTTCCGGCTCAGCATCACACAGGCCAGGAAGGAGCCTCTAGTGCTCAGGGAAGGTCAAGGAAAGAGGCTCTGCTGGAGACTCCTGCTGCTTCGGCAGCAGGGGGAGGAGGGGCTGGCACTGCCAGGTGCAGGTTTGGCTGAGGCTGGCCTTGGTTTGGACAGGTAAGTGTGGGTTAGGGCTGAGGCTAGGGTGGCAAAGGGGCCACCCACAAGTGTTGCTGGGCCCATGCACAGGACCATGCCTGGAGGCAGGTGAGCCAGCCCCACCCAGCCCATCTGTGTCCTTGGTATAAAATAATACACATATAAAAATAATACTCCATGCATTAGGGTTGGGCCCACCACAGGGCTGGCCTCCCCTCTGCCACTGGCGAGGTGTGCAGGCTTGTCTAGCTGTCCTCTGACCTCCTTTGAGTCTTGGAATGAAACTTGTTCATAAGCTCTTCTAATTCCGACCCACTTTGTTGCTTCTAGGAAAGAGGAATTGGACCTCAGCCCTGGTGCAGGTCAGGGCCACGCTGCTTCCCATGTTCCCAGAGACCCTAGGAGTAGGTGCTTGCATTAGGGAAGGAAGGCAGGAGCCACTCACCTCCAGGAAGGCCTTCTGTACTGTGAGCTGGCTGTACACGCGGATGCCCTCCTCCCCACACACCTTCTTCAGCTCCTCCTTGTTGAGTGAGAAGAGCTGGGGCCCAGTCAGGATACCCAGGTTCTCCACGATCCTAGGGGCAGTGGGGGTATGAGGGCGCAGCCGCGGGGGTGCTGCGCCCTGTCCTGCCTCCAGCACCGCCTCATGCTTGGCTCACCTGCTGCTGAAGGCCTTGGCTTCCAGCCAGGCGCGGACCTCCTCCGGACCAGATTCGAAGGTGAGCGGCAGGTACACCGGCTGACTACGCTCCACGCGGAAGTGACGCTGGGGCTGCGTCTTGATGTTGCTGATCTTCTTTAGGAGTTCGTCGTTGACCTCGTCCATGTGGTGGATCAGCTCTGCAGAGGGACACGCACTCAGAGACCCCGAGCCTGACCAGGACCCGTCCTTCTCCCACCTCACCCAGCAGGGGCTCTACATACCTTCTTTGTTCCCTGCGAAACTTGGGGGCACTTTGTGGGTGGGGCTGGCAGCACCCCAGTATTTCTGGCCAGACTGCAAGGGATTGGGGAAGAGGCCAGGGGTAAGGTGGGGGCTACTAGGACTTGCCCAGGTCCTCCCCACCTGGCCTGTGGCCCAGCCCTTTCTTCTCTTGGCTAAGACTCCCAGGAACCTGCACCAGCTCCCCCCGACCCCAAGCAGGCTTCTAGGGCTCAGGTCCAAGTGCCACATTGAGACCAGTTGCACCCTTGACCTTAGGGGCTCTGACTGTTGTAGACAGAATGGAGCCCTGGCTGGCAGTCACCTGTTCCAGAGGGACACCCACGTCCTCCTGCCGAGCCTCAGCCAGGATGTTGCAGGGCACGTAGCCAGCCTGGCCACTGCGATTGCGTAGCTTCCACCACTGCCTTCCATCTTCCAGCACCTGCCAAGGTGTCAAAGTGTCTGAGGCTCACCAACACCCTTGTACTACCCAGGCCACCAGCACCATTAGTCAGATGCCACATTCACCTGCCACTCCCTTTACAGAAAGGCAGAGAGTCTCCCAGGTGTCTCCTCCAGCTCAGCTAGGAGCTACCCTGTGCCTGTCTGGCCTACCCAGTTCTGGAGGGAGGGTGTCTTTTAGCCTGATTATACATGTAGAACCCCCCCCTCCTGTTCCATTTTCTGTCCCTCAGTGGGTGGCCTGGATTCAAGTTCAGCACAAAGAAGCTGGTGCACGTTGGTGCTCCTGAGTGGGCATGAGTGATAAGCCCTTGGTGGGCTCCACTCAAAGGCCACCCATCGGTGTGGACTGTCAGGGGTCCCCCAGACATTAGAAAGCAGCTCAGTGGCTCAGCTAGACTGTGGTAGGGGTCAGAGAGGCCCAGTCTGGGGGCCTAGTAGGAAGCCCATGGTCAGGCACCCTGGAAAGATGCACCAGCAGGTGAGTGGCTTCCACAGCTTGGTCCCAGAGCACTCCCCACTTCCCCTGGGTAGCCCAAGTCCTCACCTCTAGGACCTCATCCTTGAGCACGGACAGCTCATTGGCGTTGCGTGCTGTGAAGTCGTACAGGATCTTCACATACTTGGCCATGGCTGGTGTTGACTGGTAGCCCCTGCAAGACCAGGAGGGGGTGAAGCCCAGGGGTGGGCTGGGGTCTCCTGTTTCCCAGCTGCAGCCGTCTCCCGTCCTGCTGCCTGGTTTGCAGTCGAGAGGCTGCACTCTTCAGCCAGGAATGGAAACTGTGACACCCCAGCAGGCAGGAGGGGGTAGAGCACACTTCCAGAGGCTGGCCCAGCCCAAGCTGTCTCAGGGGGTCTCTTGCCCTGCTCCCCAGGGGACTGGAACTAGAGATATGACTGGGGAATGACGGGTCACACTTCCCCAGCTGACCACAGGGCTAGGATGTTTTCAAAACCATAGCCCCTTGGAATCAACTGTGTGTCCTTTCTGAAGTCCCCCTGCATCCCTGGGGTTAGGGGTGAGCTCTGGCTGGGGGGGAGTCTACCCCCTAACCAGGTCATGTTTCTGGTTAGTATGGCTCTGACTCAGGGTAGTGCTCTATTCAGGTGCATTGGGGAGGGAGAAGATATGGGGGCTTCAGGTCCGTGCCCAGCACACTGAAAGGCTGAGAACGTTCCTTACATGTGGTTCTAGGTAGGGACAGTGGGCACCAGGCTGAAGAGGGTCAAGGAGAGGGGCTCACTTGCTGAATATCGGTATTTCTGGCCCCTGAAACAGAACCCTGGGGTCCCCAGGCAGACTCTGGGTGGGAGTAAGAAGCAGAGGATGGGGAGGAAAGGGAGGTGCCCCCCATTCCCTGGGCTTGCACAACAGAGAAGGCAGGCGGGAATCTAAAGCCAGATCCTCCATCTGTCCCAACATCACTACAGAGGACTGGATTGTACAATACATAGTTTGATGCAGCTGCCCAAGTTCAGCAAATTTGTTTATTTTGGGGAGAGGGGAACAGGGTCTTACTCTGTAGCTCAGGCTAGCTTAGAACTCACTAAGTAGCCCAAGTTGGCCTTGAACTCTGAGTCCTTCTCCTGTTTCAGCCTTCCAAGAGCTGCGATTACAGGTAAGAGCCATCACACCTGGTTTTCTTTTGATGGCGGTGGTAGTGCTGGGGATTGAGCCCAGGGTCTATACATACTAGCTAAAGTGGTCTACCACATTCCATCCCTGTCCCTTTCCAACCTTGACTGTAAAACGATCTTTCTGTGTAAAGCACAGAAAGAACTGATGTGTTAAGGTAGTGAATTTATGCATGACTTTTGGTGAAAATTTCCCTTCAATTGTAAAAAGACCCAGGTGTGGTAGCACATGCCTTTATTCCTAGCACTAGGGAGGCAGAGGATCTTTGTGAGATCAAAGGCAGCCTGGTCTACATAGTGAGTTCCAGGCCAGCTGGGGCTACAGGAAGACCCTGTCTCAGAAAGACCAAACAAGGGCTAGAGAGATGGCTCAGCAGTTAAGAACACTGACTGAGTTCGAACACAAGACCTGAGTTCGAATCCCAGCACCCACATGGCAGCTGACAATGGTCTGTAACTCCAGTCCCAGGGGATCTGACAGCCTCTTCTGACCTCCGTGGGCATTGCACAACACAGGTGCACTTACCTACATGTAGGCAATACACATATACACATAAAATAAAAAATAATAAAATTTTTAAAAAAGACAAAACAAAACAAAAAAGAAGAGAAAAATAGTTAAAAAGAAAACTGGATTCTAATTTAGAAAAGAGTTTTTTTCACCAGTGAAATGGGACGTCTGGTGGCAGCGTACTTGCAACAGTGTGCTCTGAAGGGTGTGTCACTCTTTCACTGTGTGGGGCTTACCTATGAATATGTGGGGAGCCAGCAGGTGGTGCCATGTCCTCCAGGGCTGAGGGCTCAGAGGAGAGGCTGGGTTTTGGGGAGTGCCGTATGGAGAGCCGGTTCACTGGGGGAAGCTGTGGGCAAAGTAGGGAGCATGGCTTGATGTGGGGTGCAGGCTGGGCCAGAAGGGCCATGATTCCCAGGACAAAGGGCACAGGAGAGAAGTTTGACGAATGTGACATGACTTGGCAGTATTGAGGACATAGCGCAGGTGCCCAAGCAGGTGGTACCCCAGGGCAGCCTAACCTGGCTGGGGTGAGGATAGATTGAGCTGGTGCTATGGGGCCTTTGGAGCAGTAGGCAGAGGTGGGCTGGGGAGGTGAGATCTAAGGAAGGTGGACTAGGGCTGGGCTGGAGTTCTGACCTGGTCACTAGTGGCGAGCACCAGCCCCTCTACTTCCCAGGGAGCCTCCTGTAGGACATCCAGTGGTGGTTCCCAACCGCTGTAGAACTTGGGCACATAGGGCGGCACCTGTGGCTCCCGGGGCCACTCAGAGCTGTGGTTGGTAGAACAGAAGGTCAGTCACATGCCTTGCCAAGGCTGACCCACCCAAGACCTCCATCTTAGTCTACGTCCTCCCCTCTCCCCATACCGGGGCCGTGTCCAGGTCTCCCCCAACGATTCCCACAGAGTCATTTCTTTGGGGACGAGGTGGCCACGCAGGAAGCCCACAGCTTCAGAAGACAATAAAGGGCTGGAGACAGAACGTGCGATGTCTGGGCCACCACAGGTGTTGACAATCTAGACATAGTGAGGTTCAGTGGGAGCCCCAGCCTGTGCCTACCGGATCCACCCTGCCACCCACCTACCACAGCTCCACAGGTTGTACTAAGGAAGGGACTGTGATCTCCTGGGAACCCAGACACAGCCCAAGTATGCTAAAGTGGGCGCTTGCCTTCCCCACCCTGAAGCCATGGCAGGCCACTCTGTCCCTGATCCCACCCTGTCCCAGACCCAGGCACCAGATCCAGCGGCCCGAAAAGGAAGTGGACCAGCTCAGCCGAACTGGGGTTTTGGATGTGCTTCTGCAGCTTTGCCTGGAGGTGGGAAGATGACAGATGGCATGTGTATTTGACTGTGTAACTCTCTGCCCTCATCTACCAGCGTGGAGTGGGGCTGACTCACCAGCAGGTTGATGGCTAGCTTGGTTTTCTGAAAACAGTCAACAAATTCTCCTTCGGAAGGGGGCCTTGCCCGAAGCGTGAGGACACCCTCTGGTACAAGGTAGAGGGCTGTGAGCCTGGCTGGGTCTACCCCTGGACCCCACCCTATGCCTGATGGGTCCTGCCTGCTGTTGGGTACTGTCCCCAAGCAGCCTAGATGGTCCCCTAACTGGGTGCATGCCCACCCTGCCTTACTCCTGGGCTGTCCAGTCCTTCCCTGCCTTTCCATGTGGTACCTGCTGGCCCCTTCTTGTTCTTTTTCTTCCCCTTCTTCCTCTGGTTCAGCTGCTTGAAAGCCTCAGCTGCCTTCTGCAGCCGGGCCACGAACCATTCAATGTCATCCAGGGCGCAGTTGAGGATTTGCTGGGGTTAGAAGAGCGACTAGGGGTAAATCGTTGCATCCCCACTTGCTGAAGGGGCACTATGACAGGCCCCACACCCACAGGGCCCGGGCAGGGATGGAGGAGGACCTGGGCAGGCTGGGCACCCACCGTCTCCTTCTCTATTCGCTGAGCCAGCACAGCCCGAGGTTCCTCATCCAGGGATTCCCTGCGGCGAAAACCTGGTAGGGGACAAAGCAGCTGCCTGAAGGGCCCCCCACAGACCTCGAGGGCAGTCCCTCCCCACCCCTCAGCCTACCTGGCTCACTGAATGGCACTGGCAATGGCAGGCCCACACGGTTCTTGGCCTGAGGGACGTCCCCAGCCTGGCGCTGGAAGGGAATGGGTGCCGGACCCTGGGAAGGGGGCAAGATAGACTGCCGTTGCCGGATCTTCTCCTGGTGCCCTCTAGGGGAGAGGAAGGCACAACTCAGCCTGGCCATAATCCATCTGCTGGGTGCTGCCACCCTGCTGCCTTCCCTACTGGCGCACTGTTCCCTGGCAAGAGGACAAGCTCCCTCAGTTCCCATACCCCCCAGGGCCCTACTTCAGGGTCTGCGGCCTCATCTTCTTCCCCAGTCGGTAATCAGCCAGGGCGCTCTCGATGTCCTCCTGCACCAGCTCTGCCTGGGGGCACAGGGGCGTCAGGCTGGCTTGGCCAGCTGGTATCATGCCCACCCCCTGGCTGCCCACCTTACCTCCACCTCATCACAGTGGAAAAAGTGGATGTCAGGCTTGCTCTGGTCTGAATCCTGACACACCAGCAAGAGCACTGAGGGGTAGCGGAGTTGATTCAGCACTGTCTGGCTGTGCTGCACGGTGGGCAGTGGGAAGTTCTCCAGCTCTTCCTGTGGGTGGGTATGTGATGGGTCAGCCATGCTTGGCAGGCCCTGGACATGGATGTGGGCTGTGGCCATAAGCATATATACTCAATGCACGTGGCTAAGAAAGGACGAAGACCCTAGTTACAGACATGACTTCTGACCATGGCACATGGAGTTTGTTTCACAGACAGGAACACATGTGTAACTTGCTGGTACCCAAGAGCCCAGACTTGGCCCATGTTCAGGGACACAGACAGCATTGGGAATGCCCCAGACATAGGCCCCTGGGACACAGCTTTGGCAGAGAATTGTGTCTGGGTGCTCAGCAATCCAGCAGGTGCAGAACCAATCCAGCCTGAGCTGCCAGAAGTGGCCCAGACTCTCAAGAGGGGCCCAGTCCTCCCTGCCCACTTTTGGCCCCATTCCCTTCCACAGGTCAGCATGGCCACACACATCTGGCCCTGCCTCTGCCCATCAACTCCCTGCATCTGCTGCTGCTGACCAGTACCTGAGACTCAACATCCAGCAGCCGCAGAGACTTGTCGTTCACCTGCAGCAGCACCTCCTGGGCCCAAACCTTCTCCTTGGCGCTCAGCTGAACCAGCTTCCGGATGGCGTCGTCCACCGAGGTGATGGCCTCGCTCTTGTCCATGATGAATGTAGCCAGATGCTGAAGGAGGGGTCAGTGGTCACTGCTGGGCACAGCTTTCACTGTCAAACCCCAGGCACAAGGGGAAGCAGCCTGGGAACCTCAGCCAACAGAGCTGCTGAGAGGCCCAGCTACACGTCAGGTAGGGTGGTCTCCCTTCTGCCCTGATAGGTACCTTTGGGGGTTTCATTTATCCCAGGCTGGCCCCCACCTGAAACTTGCTATATAGTGAGGGAGGATGACCTTGAACTCCCAAACCTCCTGACTACTTCCCAAGTTGCTGGGATTACAGGTTTGTGTCACCCTGCCAGGTTTATGTGCTGCTAACATCGAACCCAGGTTTTTGAGCGTGTTAGGCAAGCATTCTGCCTCCTGAGTCACATCCTAAGCCCTTCTCCACTTTTTTTTTTTTGAGACAAGGGTTTCTCTGTAGTCCAGGCTGGCCTGAAATTCACTATGTAGACCAGGCTGTCCTCAACTTGGCAGCAATCTCCCTGCCTCAGCTTCCTGAATGCTGGGGTTACAAGCCCGTGCCACCATTCCTTACTTTTGTCTAGTTTTGTTTTGAGACAGCGTCTCCCTGTAGCCCCGGTTGGTCTGCAACTCATTATATAGACCAGGCTGACCTTGTCTCACAGAGATCGGCCTGCCTCTGCCTCCCGAGTGCTGGGATTAAAAGCGTGTCCCACCACGCCTGTCTTGTCTACTTTTGTTAATATAGACAAAGGCTGAAAAGCAGTGTAGTGGCACTTGGTAAATAGCTTTGTTAAATATAGGAACTACAGATATCAGTAATAAATGACTAAGTAAACATAAGTGATTAAAAGACCATACTCTGAAGGAAAAATTGGCAAAGGACATGACATAGAGGCTACAGAAAAATAAATTTGTTTTGTTATGTTTTTGAGACAGGGTCTCCCCCTGTAGCCCAGGCTACCTTAACTTGCAACCTTCCTGCCCAAACAGCCCCCGTGCTAGTATTAAAGGTGTGTGCACCACATCTGACAATGAATAATTATTTTTTCTTTCCTTTTTTTTTTCTTGAGACAGGGTCCCACAATGAGCTCTGATTGGTCTGGAACTCTCTGTGTAGACCAGGCTGGCCTGGAACTCAGAGTCATCTGCCTGCCTCTGCCTCCTGAGTGCTAGGATTAATGGCATTGGCCAACAAAACTCAGCCTGAGTAATTAAAAATTATTTTCAAAGCAGAGAAAATATAGATTTGTTAAGGGAAAGTGAGGAAAAATAGAGTAGGAGAATTTCTAAGGAAGAAATATTCTCTCTCTCTCTCTCTCTCTCTCTCTCCCCTCCCCCCCTTCAGGGTCTTGGTTTATAGCTCTGGCTAGCTTAGAACTTGAAAGGTAGCCCAAGCTGTCCTTGAATCTGTGGTGATCCTCCTACTTCTCTCTCAAGTGCGGGAATCACAGGTATGAGATACCAAACCTGATGTAATTTTTTTTTTTTTTGAGAAAGGGTCTCCCTGTAGCCCCAGCTGACCTGGAACTTGCTGTGTAGACCAGGCTGCCCTTGGAGAGCTGCCTGCCTCTGCCTTCCCGGTTGCAGGGATTAAAGGCGTGCTCCACTATGATTGGCCCAATGTAACTTTTTAACAAAGTAAATTGGACGATTGAATAATAATAATAAAACCCACAATTGACACTCTAAGACTTCATTTTTTTTTTCCTTTGATCTTTTTGAGACAAGGTCTCCCTGTAGTCCCAGCTGGCCTGGAACTCCCTACATAGACCAGGCTGACCTTGAACTCACAGAGATTCACTTGCTTCTGCCTCCCGAGTGCTGGGATCCAAGTGTTGTGCCACCACGCCAGGCTCAGCCAGTGCTCTTAACCCCTGAACCACTGCTCCAGACCCCTAAGACTTCACTTTTTTGGATTTATTTTTTGTATGCATATGAGTATATTGTCTGCATGTATATAAGTGCACCCGTGTTGTGCATTGCCCACGGAGGACACAGGAGGGCATTGGATCCCCTGGAACTGGAGTTACAGAGAGTTGTTAGTCACTATGTTGGTGCCAGGATCCGGATCTTCTGCAAGAACAGCCAGTGTTCTTAACCACCAGGCCATCTCTCCAGCCCTAAGACTTTAAGACTTCTTTTTTTTTTTTTTTTTTTTTTTTGTCTTTTTGAAGCAGGGTCTCCCTGTAGCTCCAGCTGTCCTGGAACTCACTATGTAGACCAGGCTGGCCTTGAACTCAAAGATCCACCTGTCTCTGCCTCCCAAGTTCTGGGACTACAGCCGTGCGCCACCACGCCCGGCTTAACACTTCATTTTTTAAGGAATTAAATTATGGTTAATTTTTTCACCTATTCTATTGACCAATACTAAAAGTCCCTGTGAGTTTCACTTGTGGGTTAAGACATGGAGAAATAGGCGCTTCCATCCAGTGCCCGCCCAGTCCCTCTGGGGACAAGTTAGTGATACCTCAAGAGGTTGATGTGTATTCCCCTCCATTCTACCTCAGGAAACCTGCACAGAGGCGAGATGCAGTTTAGGTCAGTGGCTGCTCACAGGCTAAACAGTAAGTGGGCAGAAACACAGTGGGATAGAAGGCAAGCTTCCCTGTGTGTGAGACAGGGTAAACATTGAGACAAAATGCCACCAACTAACCAAACAAATCATGCTGCTAGGTCACCAAACAAGTCAGTAAATGCCAAAAGCCTGAAACCACACAGCGTTCTTTGACCTTAATGGAATTAGAGTAGAGATTAACAATAAAAACTTAAGATGGGTGTGGTGGTGCAAGCCTGTAATCTCCTCACTTGGGAGACAAAAACCCAGAGCATCAGCAGTTCAAGGTCCTCTTCAGGTATCTAGAAAATTCAAGGCTAGCCAGGGCTATACGAGGCAGGTGGCACAAACCTTTAATTTCAGCACTTGGGAAGCAGAGGCAGGTGGATCTCTGTGAGACTGAGGACAGCCTGCTCTACATAGCAAGTTCCAGGTCAGCTGGGACTACAGGGAGACCCTATCTAAAAACAAAAACAAAAACAAAACCCCACAAAAAACAAAAACTAAAAACAAAATAAAAAAATCTCGCAAATTGGACATAGTGATGACTGCTTATAATCCCACCACTTGGGAGGTAGAAGCAGGAGTTCAAGGTTAGCTTGGACTACAGAGTGATTTCCAGGCCAGCTAGGGCTACATAGTGAAATCCTGCCTCAAAAATGAATGAAGGAGGACTGAAGAGATGGCTCAGCATTTAAGATTCTTACAGAATCTCAGCACCTGCATGATGGCTAATAACTGTACCTCCAGTTCCAGGGAATCCGACACCCTCTTCTGTGTTGGCACTGTGGGCACTGCACGACATGAGTACACTTACACACATGCAGACATGACATTCATACACATAAAAATTAAAAAATAGGAGCTGGAGAGATGGCTCAGTGGTTAAGAACACTGGCTGTTCTTGCAGAAGACCTGGGTTCAAATCTCAGCATCAACATGGTAGGTAACAACTGCCTGTAACTCCAGTTCCAGGGATCTTACAGCCTCTTCTGTCCTCCTGGGGGAAGAACTCACAGAGATCTGCCTGCCTCTGCCTTCCAAGTGCTGGGACTACAGGTGTGTGCCACCATGCCCGGCTCTTTTTTTTTTTCCTGTCTTTTTGAAATGAATGTTTTTTAAAAAAAATTAAATAAATGAAGGAACCAATGAATTAATAAAATAAACTAGAAATGATTTAGGGGTCAAAATGAAGTCACAAAGAAAATTTAAAATTATTTGGAGATAGGCTGCTGAAATGGCTTAGTGGGTAAAGGCATGGCTGCCAGCCCCAAAGACCCAAGTTTAATCCCCACATGGTGGAAGGGGCCTCTGGCCTCTACATGCACCTAGATGAGCACACACACACACACACACACACACACACACACACACACACACATTAAATTCTGTAGGGGTGTTTTTAAAAAATATTTTATTTATTATTTTTTAGTCTTTTTGAGACAGGGTCTCCCTGTAGTCCCAGCTGTCCTGGAACTCACTAGATAGACGAGGCTGGTCCTGAACTCACAGAGATCCACCCACTTCTGCTTCCCAAGAGCTGGGATTAAAGGCGTGTGCCACCAGGCCTGGCCTTATTTGTTATTTTTATTTTATGTGTATGAGCATATTGCTTGCATGTGTGTAAGTATAACAGTGTTGTGCAATCTAGAGGCTTTTTTTTTTTTTTGGTCTTTTTGAGACAGGGTCTCCCTGTAGCCCCAGCTGTCCTGGAACTCACTATGTAGACCAGGCTGGACTTGAACTCACAGAGATCCACCTGCCTCTGCCTCCCAAGTGCTGGGATTAAAGGCATGTGCCACCATGCCCGGCCAATTTAGGGCTTTTAATAACGTCCCATTCAAAAAAATTTGGAGTGGAATAAAAATTTGCATATCATGATTTGTGGGCTATAATTAAAGTAGCACTTGAGCTAAATCTCTAGCTTTCAATGAATACATTTAGTAAAAAGAAACACTTAAGACCAATGATCTAAGCTTTGACTTTAAGAAGCTGGAAAAACCTGTTGGAAAAATAGCTCAGTGGTAGAATCTTGCCTAGCATGCACAAGGCCCTGGGTTCCACCCCAGCACAAAAAACAAATGGCTAGAAAAACACAATAAAACAAGGCCCAAAGGAAGAAGGAAGAAAATTAAAAGCAAAACCCCACAAACTAGCAAACAGTCAACAGACAAAGTTAAACAAAGCTGAGTTAATCCCCTAGCAATGGTGATTAGAGACCACACTAATTCCTGAGCAGGGCTTGATGGTATATGCCTATAACCCTAGCACTTGGAAGGCAGAGGCAGGAGGATCATTGCAAATTCAGTCAGCCTAGTCTGCTTACTGAGTTCTAGGCTGGCCAGGGTTACCTTGAAAGACCTTGCCTAAGGGGGATGAGGAAAGAATTAGAGTGGAGGGAATAGGGTTAGACGCGATCAAAGCACAAAGTATGCATGATGAAATTCTCAAACAATAAAAAATTTAAAAATAAGCCCAGTGTGGTGGTGCATGCCTTTAATCCCAGCACTTGGGAGGCAGAGGCAGATCTCTGTGAGATCAAATCTAGCCTAGTCTACATAGCAAGTTCCAGGCCAGCTGGGGCTACAGGGAGACTCTATCTTAAAAAGATAAAAACATAATAGTAAAAATAATGACCTAATGTATAAAAATTAAAAAAAGATCCTGTCTTTAAAAAAAGCAATAAACCAAAAGGAGAGAAGCGACATCACTACAGATCATATGGATACGAAAATTAATAAGTAGAGACTTCTACACAAAGGAAATATAGCACTCAGAAGGTCTTAGTGGTAAATTCTGACAAATATTTAAGAAACAGCAGGCTGCACAAACTCTGAAAACACAGGATGACTTCCCTGTTGTCTTATAAGGTCAACACAACCCTGATACACAAACCTGACAAAGGTATTGTATGAGAAAATACAGATCAATATCTCTAACGGACACCTACCAAAAAAGTCCTCAACAAAATGTTAACAAATCAGCCTATGAACACATAAAAGGATCATATTTCTGTTTATTTTTGCAGTACTGGCATTGAATTCAAGACCTCATGCATGCTAAGCAAGCACGCTACCACTAAGCTATACCCCTAGCCTCTTGCCCTCCATCCCTATTTTTGAGACAGGGTCTCATGTAGTCCAGACTGCCCTCAAACTTGTTATGTATCAGAGGCTGGTCTTGAACTCCTGGATCAAGTTCTGGGATTGCAGGCTTGTGCTATGACATCCAGTAGGATAAACACATTTTGTTTTATTTCAAAAACATATTCATTTATTGTATGTGTGTCTATCGCTTCTCAGCCTTTTTGCTAAGATCAAGTGTATGTGTGAATGCCTATGTGCATGTTTTTGCATCATGTGCATGCAAGTGCCTGTAGAAGTCAGAAGAGAGTGCTGGATCCTCTGGAACTGGAGTTACATGCAGTTGTGAACTGCCACGTGGGTTCAAGCTCTGGTCTTCAGCAAGAACAGTAAGTGCTCTTAACTACTGAGCTGTCTCTCCAGCCCCCTTGTTTCATTTTTTGAGACAAGGTCTTACTCTGTAGTCTAGGCTGTCCTGGAACTTGCCATGGCAGACAGGTGGCCTTGAACTTGTGGAGCTTCTGCCTTTGGAGTACTAGAAACACAATCATGTACACCCACACCAAGCAGATATCATCTTGAATAAGTGAATTTACCCCAGAAATCAAAGTTGATTAAACATTTAAAGAGTCAATCAGTATGATTTTCTACATTAACGGTGGTGAGTAAATCTCAAAAGATTTAGAAAAAGCATTCGGAAGAATTCAACACGGTTCATTATAAAAATTCTCAACAAAGAATTGAAAGGGATTTCCCCTAATAAAATGTACCTCCCAAAGCATGCAACAGGGTCTCCCTGTAACCCTAGCTGGCCTGAAACTCTCTATGTAGACCAGGTTAGCCTTGATCTCATAGAGATCCACCTGTTTCTGCCTTCCAAGTGCTGGGATTAAAAGTGTATGCTGCCATACCTGACATCTTTTTTGATTTTTGAGGCAGGGTCTTTATTTTCCTTTTTTGTAAGATTTAGTGTGTGTGTGTGTGTGTGTGTGTGTGTGTGTGTGTGTGTGTGTGTGTACACAGATGCCAACAGCCATATCTCCAGAAGGTCTGGTCTATAAACAAATCACAAAATCCATCAAAGTCCCAGGACGCTTGACAGCCATCCTAAAAGTTTTATTGTTCTCCTATACCCTAGCAGTAGACTGTGGAAGACAAAGTTTAAAAAATACTATTTATAAGCTGGGCGTGGTGGCGCACGCCTTTAGTCCCAGCACTTGGGAGGCAGAGGCAGGTGGCTCTCTGTGAGTTCAAGGCCAGGCTGGTCTACATAGTGAGTTCAGGTCAGCTGGGACTACAGGGAGACCCTGTCTCAAAAAAAAAAAAAAAAAAAAAAAAATACTATTTGTAACTTAAGTAATACTTTAACAATATTGACATAAAACTTCCACAATGAAAACCAGAAAATACTGTTGAAAAATCAAAGAAGTCCTAAAAATGGAGAGACATCCTGTGCTTATGGATAGGAATACAAAACAGTTCTCCCTAAACCAATGATAGATTTGACTCAATGCCAGTTGAATGCTGGCAACTTGCTTATTTATTTAAATTAGAGACAAGATCTCAAAATTAAAATAAAATAGCTGGGCATGGTGGTGCATGCCTTTAATCCCAGCACTCAGGAGGCAGAGGCAGGAGGATCTCTGTGAGATCAAATCCAGCCTGGTTTACATAGAAAGTTCCAGGCCAGTTGGCCGGGCGTGGTGGCCCACACCTTTAATCCCACTTGGGAGGCAGAGGCAGGCGGATCTTTGTGAGTTCCAGGCCAGCCTGGTCTACATAGTGAGTTCCAGGACAGCTGGGGCTACAAGGAGACCCTGTCTCATAAAAAAAAAAGAAATAAAAAAAAAACCCAAAACAAAAAAACAAAAATAAAGTAGATCATGGGCCTAGATATAAAATCATACCATGAAGTGTCAAACAAACAAACAAAAGCACAGGAAGGAATCTTAAGTACTAGGTAGCAACTCCCCAGAGTCAAAAACCCAACCAGTAAAGAAAAAAATTGGGTCTAGTCAGATGTCACCAAAATCAAACTTTAACTTTCATTGAGACAGAGACACACATAAATTAAAAAGCTGGACTGGAGGAAGATGTTTTTAATCCACACGTCTAACTATATACAGAAGGCTTTCCAGTAAAGCCCGAACACCTCCGTACAGCTGAACAGAGACAGGGCAGCAGAGGAGAGGCCTGGGCTGTGCTGGCTGGAAGAGATGCCCACATAGTGTGGGGCTGGGGAAAGGATTCTCATCCTCTGCACATACGTTTCTTAAAATAGGCACGTGATGGGCTGGAGAGATGGCTCAGCAGTTAAGAGCACTGGCTGCTCTTGCAGAGGACCCGAGTTTGATTCCCAGCACCCACATGGTGGCTACTAACTCCAGTTCCAGGGGAATTGGAAGCCCTCTTCTGATCTCCACAGCATTGCATGACATGGGTGCACTCACATATATGCAGGCAATGTACTCATACATGTAAAAATAAATAAATATTTTAAAAAATAGGCACATGAAGCAAGGGACACGGGTGGCTGTGAACTACAGGATCTCACTTATAGGACATCATTCTGAAAAAGACAAGTGTAGTGGCTACAAGACAGATAGAAGGGCATGACTAAAGATTAGGGGAGAGTGGGCATAAGCACAAGGGGGTCTGGAGGGAGCCTAGGGCAGATAGAGCTGTTTTGTGTACCCTTGTGATGGTGACAGAACTGCACCCTCCCATCAATTTTATTGTATGAAAAGTTGGAAAAACGTCCAAACAATCCAGGACAAAAGCCATTGGCTTTGACTGCTTCTCAGCCTCTTTCTTTGGGCCTCAGTTTCCTAAAAAACATCCTAGTGATATCCCCCTCACTGGCCCCTGAGCAGGTAGGAAAAGCCCCCACAACAGCTGGGCTGGGTCAGGCCAGTATAGACCCAAGTCCAGGAGCCAGGCTGGTAGCCCCAGGTAGTACCTCACCAAGGAGGGCAAAGTCACCCTTCTGAGAAAGAAGGCACACTGTCGACAAAGGAAGGAGCCAGAGCTGACCCATCTGTGGCTCTACTTCCTGCCCTTGGACACTGAGTTGCAGTAGTCACTATATAAAGGCGCTGTTGGTCCAGGTGGGTAGCAAGAACCCTGGTCATTCCAAGATAGCTGGACTCAGGGACCATGGGGATTCCTGACAGCTCTCTGGGCCTATTCAACAGATGAGGAAACGAGACTGAGAATGCAACCTGCCTGATTTCTGAGGTGGGTCCCATGTGGAGTGGGAACAAGAGGGAGCCAGTGATACCAGGGATCCATCGCTGGCCTGGCCACTCAGGGGCTCCTGTCTACCTGTCATTTCTCACTGTCATCTTACAAGTTCAGTCCATGGCCCAGGAAGACTATTTTAAAAGGTAGTTCTCAGTTCTCTGTAAATTAAAGGTGATTTAGGAGAAAGGCCACTTGAGCTGGCAGCTGGTCAAAGGGCACAGGTTATGTCTAGACTCAGCATTGCCTTCCAGGCTCCCTCCCCCAACCAATAAAAGGTATCTTTGTTCCAGTGTGTTCCTCCCAGTGCAGTTCCTTGTTTGGGGGCCAAGATGACAACTTCCTTCCATGGTCCTTTCTGCACTGCACAGTAGCATGGGTGTTGTCCCGGCACCCCGAGCAGTGTGGGCCACAGGTACCAACTCCCCAGGGCAGGCTCCCTGCAGACCCCACTATGATCTCCCTCAGCCTGGAGGGAGCGGTCTTCCCACTGTGGCTGGTTCTAGGACCAGCATGGGGTAGTCCCTGGCTCTGGCCTGTCCACTTCTCCTTGAGCGTCAGTTTCTCCCATTTGTCCTTGGAACATGGGGAACTTCATAGAACACAGGGGTGTGCCTTCAGCCTCACTCACCTGGACGTGGTATTGCGAGGTCTCATGCATGATGACGTTGGAGTTGGAGTACTTCTTCCTTTGTTCTGGATGGAGAGATGGCTGTTACACACACCCCCCAAAATGGGATCTAGTTTGGTAGAACTGAACCCCCAGGGGCCACAGGGGAGAGCAGAGTCCAGATGAGGGGTTGCTGCCCTGTAAACCACTCACAGCTGTCAGGAAGAACTACAGGTTACAAAGTACGACTGATGCCCCTCCGGGGACAAGGAGTATCCACAGGAAACCTCTGACTTGGCCCCATGACAGGTCCCAGTGAGTGACCTGAGGCCCCAGAAGACAAGGACCTATTCAGGGTGGTGATGGGGCAGCCTGTCACGGGGGGGGGGGTCGTCCTAGCAGGGACAGGAAGCTCAGCCTCATCCTATGATGGCTGCCCACCTTCCTAAGGGAATGGGCTAGGCCAAGGCTTCCCTACCCTACAAGCCACCACCAGAACCTGCCTCCCTCTCTGAAGCTTTTGCTTTCCAGGTATCCAGCTTCCTGCAGCCAGTGGCACAGATGAGGGGCATGGCTGAGGAGAGGCGTGGCTAGGCACGGGTAGCCTGGTCCCCCAGAGCAGACACCTGGTAGCTGGGTCCCGTCTGACCCTGCCCACTTGATCAGGTTGCAGGGCTGCACAGGAGAATCAATATTGATGCTCCCTGAATTATTTGTAAAGGCCTCTCCCCTTACGGCATGGGGGAGGGTGTTAAATGGCCAGGGAGCTTTGGGGATGGACATCCAAAGTTCTCAGTGAGTTAGGGTCCAGAGGCCTCCTCTGGGCACTTAGAACTACCCAGGTCAGCATTCGTTCTTGGAGCAGGCAGGGATGAGACCACCAGGGTCACAGTCTTCTTCCTCCCCCTAAATCCATACCATCCTCAAACTTCACTCACCGAACAGGTCCTTGGCGCTCATCTTGGCCACACCATCAGACCGGCCCAGGCTGCCACTGCAGGGGGAGGGGCAGGTGAGGATAGGGCTCATGTCACACCCCTCCCTGGGGACTTGGGGTGGGGGATACTTACTTAGCAGCACCTGGGCAGCAGCTCATGGACCCCGACTGGCTCATGGTGTCCCCGGTGGTGGCCAGAGTCAAAGAGGACAGACCTCAGTGTGGCTGGAGTCTAGGGCCCAATGTCCGGCCCCCACCTAAGGACAGAGAGCCTAGCTGACACTTCCTCCTAGCCAGGCTGGACCTGGATCTCCGCCTCTTTCATCTGAACCTCAAGTGGCCTGGCCAGTCTCCTCAGCAGGTCTTCAGGGGGTCCTCAGGGAGAACAGTCCTCTCGACCCATACTGTTGCTGGTGGCAGTGGAGAACCCATCTGCCTTCAGATCCTTGGTCTTCTGCAGGGACATTCCCAGAGGCTGCCTGGGATGCTCTGAGGAGGGAGTTTGTTGAGTACTCTAAACTGATCTCCTTCAAAGGCACTGAGGCAGGGAGAGAGGATGGCAGGACAGGGTAAACCTGGAGCCCTGGGAGGGGCACATAGTGTTGAAGGACCCCACCACTCCTGCTCTACCCCAGTCCTTACTCCAAGGGGCCCTGAATATACATGTGGACATGCCCAGCTCTAAGAGGCCAGTCCTTAGCTCCTTCTTGGGAGACCCTAGGTGCAGGGTAGGAGTTCAGGGGGCATCTGGCCTCCCCAGGGAAGACCCAGGTAACCATTGTTCTGGGCAAGGCATCTCCATGAACAGAATTCCCAGTCCTGACCTCTTCCTGGCCACATTTTGGGAAAAATGAGGAACAGCTGGTAGCTTGGGCCAGTCTGACATCAAATGAGGGATGTGGTCTGGGGGGACCTTCAGTGCCAGGTTGCTTTCATGCCCCCGGAGAGACAGGTGGATACCATTTCTGGCTGTCCTTCTGAGGCTCGATACAGTCTGCCTCTTGATAAATGTCACCAGCAAAACCATTCCTCCTAGATTTAGCATTTGAGTATGCCAGGGTGGGGCTACCAGCTAGGGTGCTGGTATGACGACTCAGGAGCAGGCCTGTAGCACTCTAGTACTTTCTGGTTTGACCAGGTCCTGGGGGACAGGCTCCCAGGAGGTGATGGGGGGCTGGGGGCCTTAACCATTACCTTGACCGGTTACTGCTGCATCCCCTCCACCCCAACCCCAGGTCCTGGCTTGTCAGAGGAAGCTGGGCCAAATTTCTCAGTCCACCTATCCATGGAGAATGTCTGGAATGCTCATGACCTCAGTAGGTGAGTGTTTGCTTAATGGGATTCCTGGCTGGCTCAGCCAAGGGCGCCAGGCACGTGGGACCAGGTATACACACACCTGGGCAAAACAAACTGCCAGAGACCCAGGCCTGCAGGCACATTGACATACACAGGCTGGGACATGCAACCCTGCCCTTGGGGAAATCTAGGCCAGGACCTTAGGCTCAGGTAGTGGGGGAGGACTCTGGGGCCACCTCAAGACTTGTAAGCAGCTTAGTTCCAGGGAGCTTTACAGCTTCAGAAGGCATAGGGGAGCAAGACAGCCATATAACTTAGTGCAGATGAAGATGGGGCACCCAGCTTCAGAGGACCTGGGGCTCAGACTGCACTTCGTTTCCATCACAGCCATTTTCCGGGTTGAAGGGAGACCCAGCATGCCTGGTGTTTGGTAGGCTGGGAAGGGGAGGAGGCCCTGGCAGAATAGGGAGGGTGGGAGGAACTGGCTCCAAGTTCAAATTCCAGCTCCACACACTGAGCGACCTTGAGGAGGGGTCAGTTTAGTCACTGGGGCTCTAGCTGCCCTCGTGGGAGCTGGGTGGGGCCCTGGAATAGGAGGGGGAGTCCCTCAGGCACTGGTTGGGTCTTGATCTGAGAACAAAGTTCTGGGGAGTGTCAGGTGGGAGCAAGGGAGGCTGGGGAGGGAATGAACGCACGTGAGGAGACCCACACAGGCCGGAGTGAAGGGCCAACTAGTCTTAAGTAGGCAGATCTAGGTACAGGTGGGACTACAGAGGGGCTGGGGTGGGAGGGGCCTTCTCCAGCGCTGTCCTGTCTCCCTGCCCGCAGCCAAGGAAGACTGCACACGGGAGACAGTAGAGTTGATTTGTGGGCATTCCTACCTCTCCTCCTGCCTCCATGGACGCCTTCATGTAAAGAGGAGGCTTATCTGGCCCAGGGACCTTGGATGGCCTCTCTGTGGATGTCCACGGCACCCCCCCCATCAGTCACCCTCCTGGATGATGGCCACTCTCAGCCTCCGCTTCCCCTGAGACCCCATACCCCAACTGTGACCTGGAGACTGACCCAGCCAGATGCTTCCCAGGCCCTGGGGTTTCTTCTGGGCCCAGACACTCAGGAAGGGTTAAGTTTCAGGCACCGGATGGTGAGCCCACCCAGGGTCAGACCCCGAAGTCCCAGTGTGCTGGACAAAGTGAAGAAGGCCCTCCCTACCTCTCTTGTCAACCGCAGGTCTCCCCCCACATCCAGCCCCAGGGCTGGGAGGGGGGCCCGGGACCAGGCGGGTGAGTCACACACCACTGGCTTAAAAATATTCCTGAACACTGGCCTCCGCCCGCCTGGGACCAACTGTGCCACAGAGGAGCGGTTCTTGGGCCAAGGGCTCAAGGGAGGCTCAGGCCCGACGCTACCCTCAAGGTCCTGCACCTTAGAACCCCCCGACCCGCCCCCGAGCCCACCGCTTAGCCATCTCCAGCGTCCCGCGGCCCGGGGCCATCTCAAACCCTACATTCAGGAGCCCTCAGCCCCGGGAATGGGTCACCCTCCAAACTCAGCACAGAGCCCCACATCCCACGGCCACCCGGGGAAACTGAGCCCCGGGCTCGGCTCCCCGGCTGAGGAGCTCACCTCTTCTCCGGCAGTTCTCGCCCGCACTCGCCCAGGTCCACAGACCCGTGCGTCCGTCTGTCGGTCCGTCTGTCAACGCCTCGGCGCGGCGGAGCTCCCCCTCTGCGGGCGGGGCGGACTGGGGCGGGGCTGCGAGAGGAGGAACCTGGGCGACAGGTTACCGAGTCACCCGGAGTGGGCACCCGGGAGGCGGGAGAGGGGGGCGGGCCCCAGACGCCCCTCCCGCGCGCGGCTCCGCCTCGTTCGGCTCCCTCCGTCCTCCTCGCGGTTCCCCACCGCACCTGGGGCCCCTTTGCAGCCGCCCCTGGAGTGCAGGGCGCGGCCCCAGCTGCTCCGACAGGCCGAGCTGCAGGAGCAGGTGGGGACCTGAGCCAGCCGGCGGGGACAGCCTTGGGTGGGGCCTTAGAGGGCTGCGGCCCCGGGGGCGGGGGGGGGGGCTCGGGCACGAAACTCCTGTCGGGTGCCCCTTCCGCCCAAGTGGGGCAGAGCAGAACTCTTTCCTATTCACCGCGCCAGTCCGGTGCCTGGGATGCTGCGGCTGAGGCTGAGTGTTCTGAGCTACCAGGTGTGACGGCTCCCTCCTTCAGAGGGGCTCCTAAGACCCCTTCCCTGCTCCGCTTTGTCCAGCCCGGGCAGCAACCTTCCTCCCCCAGTGATGGGGTATCTATGGAGAGCGCAGGGACCGTCTCCATCATGCTGACCACCAGGCTACACTGCTTTCTGACAGCTCAGAGCAGGGTTGGGCACACGGCGAGTAGCCTACGTTAACTGGCCTGCAAGGAGGAAATAAAGGGGGTAAGGGCCTGCCAGCTGTTGGACAACCCTTGTGTGAACAAGGACCCAAGGCCCTAGCTATTGTTCCTGAGAGTGAGGCAGAGGAAATGGGTGCTGCCAGAAAGGCAGGGTCCCAGGCTGCAGGGCAGGGCCCTGGGTTGTTTGCCCTGGGCGGGTACACAACAGCACTTCCTGGGGAGTTGGATGCTCTACCCTGGAGGTACACAACAGCACTTCCTGGGGAGTTGGATGCTCTACCCTGGAGGGCTGTCAGCACTGTCTGACCTGGATTGTCCTTGCCCAACCTCTACTCTGGGACACCACAGGTGAGCTGGACAGAGGGTTGGCAGGATGTGGCCTTGATCCTTCAGGCCCAGTTCCTGATGGGTCACTGAAAGACCTGGCTTCCTGGTTCATAGTCCTTGCTGCTGATCTCATAGAAACAGCTCAGTCTTGCTTGGCCTGTGACCTGCCTTGGCCCAGTATGCATCTGTCAAGTGCTCAGCTGTTGTACAGGGAGGGGCAAGTGCATGTGTGTGCCCTCAACCTCTTGGGCAGAGCGAGGAAGGCGTAGAGCGATAAACAGGTAAGTGCTCACTAACCCTGTTGTGAGGCAGCCCAAGCTGGTGACAGGTGGCTGGGGCCCACTCAGCCACCTGGAACACTGCCTCCATGTGGCCAACAGGGGTGTCAAGGGCCCAAAGCCCCAGCTTGCTAAGTGTGCAGGTGGAAGGCATCCTTCTGAGGTCCAGCCTTGATCTGCAGGGAGCTGCTGAGTCCTCAGCAGACACCCTAGTCCATCCTGCATATCCCAGGCTGTGTTCACTCTACCCACAATGACACTTTAGAGGGAGGTGTTCCCAGGCTCTCTGGATTACTGGTCGTTCCTGGGCTTGCCCCTGGTGCTCCACTGCATAGCATGGGGACAGGAAGAGCAGGTTACCAGACCATCATGGTATTCACGACGGTCTCTGGGGGACACAGGTCAAAGGAAATGAGTTAAGGAGCCATGGGTGTGCAAGGCTTGCTGGTCCCAGCAGAGGTCTTGGATGTCCCAGCAGAGGCCTCCCACCCTCAATAACCTACAGGGGAAGGCTTCTGGCCAGTCACTGAGGTGGAGGGAAGCCAACTAGAGGGCAAGTCCCAGAATGGGGCCATGAAAGGGCCAATGGGGGTAGGCTCTTATGTATTGGTCCCAGGGGAAGATGGGTGACTATAATTAAAGAAAAAAATCATGCCAGCATAACTACTTATTTATTTTTAAAGAGAAGAGAAACGAGGTATTTGAACATATTATTCCAAACAGAAAACATATGACAGCAACAAATGGAGGAAATTAACTGCAAAAAGTCTGCTTAAATACTTTTTAAGGAGAGGGTGCCAGGAATGGAAAAAGTGGTAAGATGGAACTCACTCGGCACTGCAAATGCTGCAGAGATTTAGTGGACTGGGGCTCCCCAACTCCTACACCAGAAGCTGCTTGTCTGCCTTCTACTCTGAGGTGAACCCCCCAATACACAGTTATCTGACCCATTTTCTTTTTCTTCCTCTTCTCTCCTCCTCCTCTCTCTCTCCCCCCTCCCTCCTCCTCTTCCCTTCCCTCTCCTCCTCTTCTTTTTTGTCTTTTTAAAATACAGCTCGCTATGTATCTCTGGCTGGTCTGAAACTATGTAGACCAGGCTGACTCTGAAATTAAGAGATCTGCCTGCATTTGCCTCCTGGGTGCTAGGATTGAAGGCATGTGCCATCACACCTGGCCCCCATTTGCTTTGGTTTCTCTTAGAAATCAAGCACACTGTTTCATCGAGGGCCGGTGCCTGATGGGAAGCCAAATTGGGGGACGCTGGCGCATAAGGCTTGCCACCCTGCAGCTCCAGAGGGAGCCCAGGCTTGGAACAAGATCTGGCAACAGAGTACAGAAGGCTCTTAGAACAAGAATCAGGGCCAGTGTGGGCAGCATGGACGTCAGTAACTGCTGTGAGAAAACACAATGCAGCCAGTTCCTTCCTGGGGGAATGGCTGTGGAAACTTCCAGGATCCTGTTTCTTTAGGTGGTGACAACGTGGGGCCCTGTGCTGCCCCCAGCAGCTTCCCTCCGCAAAGGCTTTGCCTCCCTCTGGCCTGTTGATCACTGGTGGTCCTGAGGCTGCAGCCAGGACCCCAGCCACAGGGCCTGAGTGGACATTCCTGGGATTCACTAGCTAGCTGCCCACAGTGACCATTCTCAACGGGGGGCCCCCCCCCCCCCCCCCAGCCACAGGGCCTGAGTGGACATTCCTGGGATTCAAGAGCTAGCTGCCCACAGTGACCATTCTCAACACCTAGGCCCCTGACATTTGTCCCTCCCTGGTTCCTCTACCCACTTTGCAAAAAAAAAAAAAAATTGTAAACCATCTAAATCCATCTATAAAAAATCAGTAAGAAAGAGGCCCTCCTTGTCCAGCAGCAGGGGAGTTGGCTGGGAGCTGAGGAGGAACGCTGCTATTCAGGCTGTGCTGGTGTGTCTACCTGATGAAGTCAGCAATGACCACCACCTGCAGGCCAGCCTCCAGCCCATGCAGCACCAGGAGAGTGGCGCTGAGGACCGAGTCCATCCATAGCACAACTGTCTGCCGGAGCAGGAAGTGGACAGAGAGGAGGCCACTGCCTGCTGTGAATGCCAGACTGGCAGCCAATGGCACCTCAGCCTCTGTCAGGTTGCCCTTTGTGCCTGGAGAGCAGAGCAAACATGAGAGTGAAGCAGGACACCCCACTGACCACCCAGCCCCAGGTGTTGCAGCTGCTAAGGGTCAACATGAGCTCATGGAACTTGGGAAAACGACCCACTGTGGCCACCTCATGTTGGAAAGTGCCAACAGCTAAATCTGTCTCTGTAGTCTCAAGACATAGAAAGTTTGGTCTCTTAAAACTGTAGGCATCTGCCACCTTTTCCTAACTCCAAGTGGGATCAAAGGGATTTTGTTTAAAATGTCTAAAAATATTTTACTCTGGACTAAGGTGGGCCAATTCTGGAAAATTTCATGAATACACATGAAAAACAAAACTGCCCATTTTACAAACAAATGGGTCAGTCATGGAAAATGCCACCTTGTATCTGTCAGTAGTTGACCAGCTGCCAGGGGTGACTAATGGTCTTCCAGCCCCAGCTTCTGGGGTGCCTGGAGGTCTGCTGACCCTAGCCCTGGGTGTCCTGGGTATGCTGACTCCAGCTGCTGGGGGTGCCCAAGGGCCCGCTGAGTGCCAAGTGTTTGGAAAGGTTCAATATTGACAGCCCCTTACGGGACACCCTGAAGGGCTGGCCTGATTCCTTATCCACACAGTAACAGTACGCACTTCCTGTGGGTAGCATTGCCTACTGAGCAAGCTGTGTTGTTCCAGCACAATCCTCAGAAGCAGGCACTGGTGTTGTGTGTATGATGGGCATTGAAGAAACTTGTTACTCTCAGCCAGGGGTACCATACGTGATAACAAGAGGGAGGGCAGAAGCCAGCTTCCCTGTGTGCTGTCACCTTTCCTCTCTATACAAGGCACCACCAAGCCTGAGGTCAGAACTTGGCAGTGTGACATGCCAAGTGGTACCTTCTATACATGCCTGTGACTGCATATAGAAAAAGGCAGGGGCAGAGTTGGAGGGTGCAAGACACCTCAGCCAGTTCTGGGGAGGGAAACTTTCACATTTACTTTTTTGTTACTTGTCTCTAAGGCAAACCTACCCTAAATCAACTGTATGACTTAGAAAGAGTTCGTAGAGTGGTTGCCTAGCATGCATGAAGCTGTAGTAGGTTCCATCCTCTCCAATGCCAAAAATAAAAATAAAAAAATAAGCATGGTGGTGCACAACTATAATCCCAGCACTCAGAAGGCAGAGGCGGAAGGATGAGGAGGTCAAGGCAGCCTCAGCTACAAGAGGTCACTGTCTGAAACTAAAATAAATAAAGTAATGAAAAGAGGGAACGGGCTGAGAGTGACCACAAGAGTGCTAGCCCTGAGCCAGCTTGGGAGGCAGGGTCCCCTGCCCTTGCATGGATCCGACAATCTCCAGACCTCCTTCCCACACTTTCTCCTCAGCAGCTGAAACAAATGGAGAAGAGGGGGTTCGAGGCATGTTCTGGAGCTCTAGCTCTAGCTGGGCTTCTGGTCCGAATGCAGCTATAGAGTATAATCAAGACTCAAGGATGCCACCAGTGTTACCTATTCTTGGAACAAAGCTTTGAATAAATGGTTAATACTTAATGACACCATAAGGTGAAGCTGTTTGAATAAGAATGTCTCAGCCAGGCATGGTGGCATAGGCCTTTGATCCCAGCACTCCAAAGGCAGAGGCAGGTGGATCTCAGTGAGTTCCAGGCCAGCTGGGGCTGCAGGGAGACCCTGCCTCAAAAAGACCAAAAAATAAAAATAAAATTAAAATTAAAAATATTAAGCTGCCTTTAATCCCATCACTTGGAAGGCAGAGGCAGGCAGATCTCTGTGAGTTCAAGGCCAACCTGGTCTACATAGCAAGTTCCAGGCCAGCTGGGGCTACAGGGAGACCCTGTCTCAAAAAAAAAGACCAAAAAAAAAAAAATTGTATAAAAAGAAAATGCCTCCAAGAACCATACTGTAAAATGATTAATATTTAAGGGTTCAGAATGTTCAAGACAGCACCTCTGTAACCATAGCCTTTTATGGTTTCACAGCCAACTCACCTAGGTAGAGCCGAGCTGCTTCCAGAACTCCCATCAGAAGCAAGAGAGCCAGATCCAGCACCAGGCAGTTATGAGGATAGCTGAAAACCTGACCTAGGAACACACAGCCAGGACTCAGGTCAGCTTGTTGGGGGCATGACTCCCTTGGTGGGACTGGCACACATAACTTACTTTTATATGTGATCGTTGCAAGCATAGCTAGGAAATATAGGGCAGAGTACAGCCCGCCGAGGTGAAACAGCATCTGAAGAGGAACTGAGGAGAGCTGGTAGGCAGTCAAGGATCCTTAAGTTCACTGATGGGGTGCACCTGTCCAGGCGGCCATGCAGAGGGACCAGTTCTGCCACCCATGGCTGCAAACCAGCAGGTCTGGGTAAACACCTACAGATGACTATGGGATCTAGCTGCGGGCTCCTGCCTACCTGGGGCTTCTATTGCTACATGGGCTCCTAGAGTGGTCACCTGAGGGTGCCCAGTGGTCACAAGGGTAATGCTGGATTCCGTCCCACCCTGCATGGTCTAAGTACCGCAGTCCTCAGGAGCTACAGGCAGGACAGAGGGAACTCCTCACCCTACAGAGAAAAACAGGACCCTTTTCATTTTTTTAGAGAAAATAAAGTTCTTGGCCATCCAAACTGAGGGCTTTTAATTTCCTACCACGGTGGTCTGACTGGTAGCATGTGAGTGGCCTTTCCCCCAGAGTACCAGACCTGTGTTGGGAACAGGCCTGAGCCGGTGGAAGACAGCCAGCACACTAGGGAACATTTCTCCCCCTTATAAGTTACTAGTCAGAATTTAAGAAAAAGTGGGGTGAGTCACAAAAGGCACAAAAAAGGCAGAGAGTTGACTGTGGCAACCCAGCATGGTCCTGCTTTGAAAGGGCTGTGCCTGTCAAGGGCTCAGGAAGCAGCAGCAGCAGCAGCAGGATACCACCTTGGATGGGCCTCTTCCTAGAAGAGGAAGGATCATCAGTGAGACATTAGCAGTGACACAGTGGCCATTTAGTTCTCTCATCTCACACTTAGAGATGGATGTGTCATTACCATGGCCACAGCAAGCTGCTTGTCTCACCTCTACATCCATCCTTTCTAGGATGTGGCAATCTCTGACTTCCCACACCCAAAGTGGGAAGAGCCTGCACCAGGGGCACAGCGGCGAGGCAGAAGTGAAGCCTGACGCAGCCTAAGGTCAGATCCAACAGGCTAAGTGAGATTCACACCTCGGGAAAGAAATGGTGTAAAACAAAACCAAGCAGCAGGTTATTCACCTCATGTGGTTTCTACGCACACACATGTATATTAGGTGGACACTCTTTCTGATTTGGGTTACAACAGATCACAGGTATTTGCTTTCTCCTGGAATTTATTCATTTCCCCAAAAGAACTATTGGGGAGAAACAAAGCCAGCTACCCAGTGATGTGACCTCTTAGGCTCTCCTACCCCATGCAGGTATTACTCGTCCCTCGTGTTGGGACAATCAGCTGCTGGGGTGTGATGGAGCCTTGCTTGTGTCTTTGAGGTTCTGTACTTGAAAATCCATTGGCCCATCCTTGGATGGAATGTGATTGTAGCCCAGACTGCCTTCTGGAGAGGCTCACACCAGTTACATGTCTCTACTTGTGCATGCACCCCCCATTAAAAACTCAGAATTTGGCCAAAACCTCCTGTAAAAGAGGCTGTACTTCTGAGCAGACAGGGCAGCCCCCGAACTCAGACTATGCCCATCTCCTGCTCTGTTCCCTCTTCAGTCCCAGGGACGACAGTAGGATAGAAAGTGACTTCACAAGTGGACTTTAGACTGTCTGCTCTGGAGTTGTGGACTCTTGTGTGGGTGAACCATAAACCAGTAAACAGGACATTAGCAATAGCCTCTGGACCACCTCCTAGCAGGGGCACGTGTGGGAGCAGGAAGCCAAGTGCTGTGGGAAAAGCATCACATTTCCACCAGATGCTCTCTAAACCTGATCTGTTCTTTTCCAGGCCCCAGCTAAACTAGGCTATCTAGATACCTGTCATTATTGGGGTCAGTTTCACACTAATTGGAATTTTTGTCCCTTTGGATCCTTTTTGTAAAAGCTAGTGTCATGGCTGGGATGTAGTTCAATGGTAGAACACTTGCCTAGCACTGCAAAAGACCCTGGGTTCAATCCCCAGCACTGCAAAAATAAAAGTGTCCAGAAACCTGTCAACTTCATCTATTGGTTGTTTATTATTACAGATTGAAGCTATGGGGCATGGAGCTAGAGAGATGGCTCAGTGACTAGAACACTGGCTGCTCTTGCAAGAGGACCTGTGTTCCTGTTCCAGAATGGTGGCTAACAATCATCTGTAAAGTAACTACAGTCTCAGAGATCAGATAGCCTCTTCTTTTTATTGTTATTATTTTTTTTAGTTTTTAAAATGTATATGAGTATACTGTCTGCATGGGTGTAAGTGCACCCTGTCAGGCAATGCCTGAGGAGGTCAGAAGAGGGTGTTGTTGGATCTCCTGGAACTGGAGTTACAGACGGTTCTTAGCCACCATGTGGGTGTTGGGAATCGAACCTGTGTCCTCTGCAAGAACAGCCAGTGCTCTTAACTGCTGAGCCATCTCTCTAGCCCCCAGATGGCCTTTTCTGACCGCCATGGGCATTGCATGCACATGTTGTACCTACATACATGCAGGCAAAACATTCATGTACATACAATAAAAATAAATTTTTAAAAATTTGAAAAAAATTGTGGGGTTTAGGAAAAAAACTGTGTAAGGGGCTAGGGAGAGGGTTCAGTGGTTCAGAACATGGACTGCTCTTCAGAGGACCTGAGTTCAGTTTCCAGCACCCACATTGGGCAGCTCACAACACCTGTAACTACAGCTCCAGGAGATCCAATGCTGTCTCTGGCCTCTGTGGGCAACTGTACTCTGCACATTCTTCCACACAGACACATATACATATAATTAAAAAATGTTTAAATAATGTATAAAATCATCAAATGGCATAGTATCAAAATAACTCATTAATTAATTAATTAAATAAACTATCCTAACAATTTCCAACCTACAGGGGTTCATTTTGGCTGAACTGTAGCATGGCTTTTGGGACTTAACACTTCTTATCAATGATTTACTGTAACCACAGTGTGATTACTAACAAATATGAGGCAGAAGTTCACCATAGAAATAAAATTTTCCTGGTGTGGCAAAAGCTGTTAAGACACCCTCTTGTGGTAGGGACTTTTTAAAAAAATATATTTTATTATCTTTATTTTATGCGTATGAGTGTATTGCCTGCATGTATGTGAGTGCACCCATGTTGTGAAATGCTGCAGAAGTCAGAAGAGTGTCGGATTCTGGAACTGGAGTTAAGGATGGTTCACAGCCACCATGTGGGTGCTGGGAATTGAACACGGGTCCTCTACAAGAGCAGTCAGTGCTCTTAACTGTTGAGCCATCTCTCCAGCCCCCCTCCTTTTTTTAACTTTTTGTCTTTTTTGAGACAGGGTCTCCCTATAGCCCCAGCTGTCCTGGAACTCACTATGTAGACCAGGCTGGCCTCGAACTCACAGAGATCCACCTGCCTCTGCCTCCCAAGTGCTGGGATTAAAGGAGTGCGCCTCCACGCCCGGCCTGTTTTTGTTTTTTAAGACAATGTTTTCTACCTAGCTCAAGTTGGCCCTGAATTTGAATCATGCTTCGGCCTTCCAGATGCTGGATTATACCCTATTATCTCTCTATCTATGTATCATCTATTGATCTATCTATCTATCTATCTATCTATCTATCTATCTATCATCTATCTATCTATCTATCTATCTATCATCTAATCTATGTATCATCTATCCCTATCAGTCTACCAATCATCTATCTATCCATCTATATATCAATCAATCATCTATCATCTATCTATATATCTATCTATCTATCTATCTATCTATCTATCATCTATCTATCTTTTTGAGATAAGTAAGGTCTCACTATTCAGCTTTGGAGGGCCTGGAACTCACTATGTAGACCAGGCTGGCCTCAAATTCAAAGGGATATGCTTGCCTCTGCCTCCTGAGTGCTGGGATTAAAGTCATGCACCACCATGCCTGTCAAGTGCTGGGATTATAGGTGTGAGCACCACACTTGGCTTCCACAGGTAAAGTATGGCAATTCTGAATCCACATATCAAAACGGTTCTAAGGTATCAGACTGTAGAGCTGGTTCTTTCTAGTTGGCCTACTTGTAGCTGTAGTATAGCCCTGAGACAAGGAATATTGAAATGGGACCTTTGTTTTTATTTTGAGACAAGGTCATACACTGTGGCTATGGCTGGCCTTGAATTCACTATGTAGCCCAGAGTGGCCCAAACTCAGTGATCTGCCTGCCTCCCAACTGCTGAGATTATTGGACTGGACTCAGTCCTGCTTGGAAATGAGGTCTTTTTAAAAAAATATATTTTTTTTATTATTTTTATGTGTATGCGTGTACTGCCTGCATGTAGGTAAGTGCACCCATGTCATGCAATGCCCGCAGAGGACAGAAGAGACTGTCGGATCCTCTGGAACTGGAGTTACAGACAGTTGTTAGCTGCCATGTGGGTGCTGGGACTCGGACCCAGGTCTTCTGCAAGAACAGTCAGTGTGCTTAACTGCTGAGCCATCTCTCCAGCCCCAGAAACAAGGTCTTTTATGTGACTTAATTCCAAGACCACTCTCCCACCCAAGGCTTTCTGTTTATCACAAACTTGCACTCCTAAATCTGTGGTATTACAAGAACAGGGTGGCTAAGTATAACCACATTCCTGAAATTTGTTCCATGAAAGAACATTTGGAAGAATGATGGCTAGTCACACAGAAGCCTGTACTAATTATGACCAGCTTCTGACCTAGGCTATTGGCATCTGACCCTGCCTGCCCTCTTATCATCTGGTCCCAGGTCTCGTCCCCAGACTTGGGAGTATGGGTTACAGTAGCCTCTGGCTGCCCAAGACTCCAGTGAGCCACAGGTGTGTGTGTGTGTGTGTGTGTGCGCCTGCCTACTGTGTGCCCTGAGGTAAGCTGCGGGTGAACCATGTGTGTGCCCTGGATGAACTGACATTATGCCATGATTGCGTCTAGAGTGTGTCAGAGTGGGCCAGGTGCCGTGGATGTACTCAAGGTATACCTCAGGTATGCCATGGATGGACTGGAGAGAACCACAGGTGTGCCTGGGACGAGCTTAAGGTATGCTATGGGTATCTTGGGTGTGCCCAGGGCAAGTCAGGGGTATGCCAGGGATGCACACTGGGGTGAGCCACAGGTGTGTCATGGGTGTACCCGGGGTGGGCAGCAAGGTGTGTCGTGGGTGTACCTGAGGTGAGCTGCGGGTATCCAAGGGTGAGCTGAAGATGCACCTGGGATGCGTCATAGGTGGGTCCAGGGTGCACCAAGGTGTGATATAGTTGTTTACTGGGGTCGCCCAGTGTGTTCCTCAGTTATACCATTGGTATACCAGATGAGCCGCGGGACAGCAGCCCAGGGTCTGTGGCGTGCGCCACGACAATGGGACCACGTTCGCGCCCTCCCCATCTAAAAGCAGAAATTCGGACCTAGGGGGCTTTAGTCACCAGACTGGGTTGGCGAGGTGGCGGCAGAGGAAGTGTCAAGCCAGCCCTCAAAGTCCGGCATCACGACTGCACCACTACACCAACAAGGCGCCAGCACCGCCCCGCCCGCCTCACCTGGCCGCGCGGCCGCCATCTTGCAGCTGGGTCCGCCGCGCTCCCAGCAGCCTCTAGGCTGCACCCTCCCGCCATCTTCGCTCCTCCCGCCGCGCGCCGGAGCGGCGGTCGACTACGGCCGAGGCCCGACTCGCCCGTCCGGCAGCACTCGGGCACTTTCGGACAGGAGGAGGCGGGCACTGAGGCTCCGGAGAACTCGGCTCGGAGACGTTCGGCGGAGTTCGGCTAGGCCTCGGGTGACCTCGGCTGCCGCCGCCGCCGGAGCGGGCGGAAAAAGTCAGTGGAGCCAGGCTCGTTCTCCGAGGTCAAACCGCGTCGGAAGCCAGAGAAAATCTGCCCAGAGTTGGCCAGCTCTATTGCTAGTGACGACAGTCAGATTAGCCTCCCAGACAGTGAGAAAGAAACGCTCGGACACTTTCGTGCAGCTTCGGAACCATTCGGACTGACTCGGCTCCTCACTTCGACCAGCTTCGACCCTTCTCGGGTCCACCCTCTGGACGTCGGCTCGGCTCGGCGGGCGACTGGCTGCCTCTTCGGTCGCTGCTCGGGCGGTGGCTTCGGGCGGCCTCGGCCCGACTCGGGCGGCCCGTTCGGGCCCTGCTTCGGGCTCTGCGCCGGGAGCTTCGGGCGGCCCCGGACGGAGCCTTCGGGCGGGCTCGGCGGAGTCCGGATGGAGGACTCGGACTCGGCGGCAAAACAGCTGGGCCTGGCCGAGGCAGCAGCGGTGGCGGCCGCGGCCGCTGTGGCGGC